AAAATAATTCCAGAACATATCATTCAAGACTCATAATAAATAGTAAGTACTTCTGATGAAATGAAGAGAAAACGTTTGAAATAAATAGTACTTTCTTTTCATTGAACCTGGCTTGTACTGAAAGTTTGTTTGTCTAGAAAAATGAAATGAAACTAAATTCCCTGTTGTAGAAATATTGTACTCCCAACTTTTTCATTCATATCTGTCTTTCATCTCAAATTGACAAACATTTTTAAATTACTGTTTGTATGACAGAAAGGCATACACTCTAAAATGGAGCTCAAGAATTTCAAATAAATACGGTCATGTTATGTATTTTTTGAACTCCAGAAATTTGTGCATCTTTGATATTTATTTTCACAAAAATTGAAATTGAACCCTTTTTTTAAACTTATTCTCATTCATAATCCAAACCAGGCAGATTGTTTGCTTTCATTTGACAGGCTTTTTGACTTGTGGAAGTCCTATTTATATAAATCTTCCAAGGGTTGGATTCAGATTTGTGGATAAAAATTCTGAGCAACATGGTTTTCGTGTTTTTTTTCTTTCCTTTTTACAGGATGGATTTTGATTGATCGTGGTGGGAAACACTTTGGCACGATTTTGAACTTCCTGAGGGACGATTCAGTGGAACTGCCGAGCACGAGGAAGGATCTCATGGAGCTGCTTGCTGAAGCCAATTTCTACCTCATCAAGGACCTGGTGGAGGCCTGTGTGGCAGCGTTGAAGAACACCGTGGATGTGCCCTTGTGCACTGTTTCCTTGATCAGTTCCCCCGAGGAGAGCCAGAAACTCATTTCTTCCACCACCAAGGTGATTTTTCAGCATCATTTTTGATGTAAGGGATAGATTTCAGTTCTGTGTGAAGCTAATACTGTTTCCTGAATCTGGAAATTGTGGATTTATTTTTCAATCTTTTGAATCTTGAAATGCATTTAAAAAATTCTGTTGAAAGAAAATCTCAATGTCTTTTAAAAAATATTATAACTCATAAATCATTACAGTACTGTATATTGAGACTTATGAATATAAAAATAAATATAATATTTTTAAAATTTGAACCCATTTCCAATAGGAATTTTGTGTGGAAATGAGTAAAAAGAAAATGCAGTGGAAAGCTTCTGCAAAAGATGATTGAAGACTCAACAGAGAGGCGTTATTCTACTACTGTATGAGATTTCTTGTAATAGCTTTTTTCAGTGAAGCTTTTTGTAAAATTTGAAAACCAACTACATCAATTCAAGAACTAATTCATTTTCCTCTTGCTGGGACAATATGATGACTTGATTCACAGCTTCTAAATTTTTCCATAATTATAAATATTGTGCTGTATTTTGAGTAAGATGAGTACGTTTGAGTACAACAGAAGACAAAATGAACTCAGTTGTGCTATTGATTTTATTTTATGGTGAAAATATCTAATTGTATCTATAACTAAGTTGTTGCTTACAATTCATGTTGAGGCAGATATTTTATAAAATATTTTTTCATCATTTTCTTTTTTTCAGCCAATTGTGAAGCTGTTGGTGAACCGGCAGAACAACAAGTATTCCTACACCAGTGCGTCTGATGACAACCTGCTGAAGAACCTGGAATTGTTTGACAAGCTGTGCAGACGGTTTCATGACAGAATACTATTCATCAAGGATGTCATGGGCACCAATGACATCTGCTGCTGGACTTTCTACGGCCATGGACAAAAGATTGCCGAAGTCAGCTGCACGTCCATTGTTTATGCCACTGACAAGAAACACACAAAGGTGACTAGGAATCCTTCATGTAGAAGCTCTATGAATAACTTGTCCTGGAAAAATATTATAACGAATAAATCATAACAGTGAACTTACTGTTGATATAACTTGTAATTGTACTTTTATAAGTTATAGAACTTCTATGTTCAAGTCAACAATTATTTCATTGTATTTTCAAGCCATCCAGTAGTCTTTCCCTGAATAATTTCAAAATCCCCTTTACAGCCATTACAATTGAATCTTAGTAATTTAACTAATGTTAATTTTGTGATACTGAACGTATTCTAGGTGCTTTTTGATGGATCAGCAGTAATTTCTCTGGTACATGTGCCATAATCAACAAGGACAGTTGAACCTCTCTCTGGGTCAAAAACATGAATATTTTTTGCTCTATCCTCCCTGAATCTAATTGAGATGGGGCCGCTTAAAACAACCTTTCTTGGAACACGTAAGAACAGTAAATTTTCTCACAATTTGATTTATAGTTTTGGAAGTGGGTGGGAAAATAACGTAGCTCATTATCACATCTAATTTCAATCAATTAAATTAGGATTACCTTTCAGAACACCTGAGCCAGCAATGCGAATTCTTGGAGGGAGTAGAATTTAATCTTGAATTTTAACTTGATTTAAAATATATAAAAAAGTAAACACCTGAACCAAAAATTTTTGAAAGGTGATGTGAAAACAACAAAACTTATAAGATAGCAAGATTAAAATTAAATTCTATTTTTGGAGGGAGTAGAATTTAATCTTACCATTTTATTTTATATTTTAAATCAAGTTAAAATTCAACACATCTTCATTTTTACTCATTATGAGATAGTAAGATTAAATTTTTCTCCCTCCAAAAAATCGCTTAACAATCGCATTGCTGGTTCAGGTAGTCCCAATTTATTTGATTGAGTTGGCTAAAACTGTCGGATTTCGAAAAAGAGAGGTCAAACTGGCCTTGTTAATTATGCCACTCTCAAATTTTAAGAAATACAAAAATGCGTGTACTAAATTCGGGAACCAGTGCAACAAAAATGCAAGTCTAAATTCAATTGGTATTTTTCAGGTGGATTTCCCAGATGCCCGGGTCTTCGAAGAAACCCTAAACGCTCTGCTTTGCGAACCCTGTTCCTGGCCGGAATGTTGGGAATCTATGAAGGTGCTTTCCCTGAAGGGGGGCAAGTGCAAATGTCAGCTACCTGACCAAAAGCCTGATGATGCAGCGAGTGAGGAGCATTCCCTCAGAGGCAGTAGAGACGAAGCATCTGGGGACTCATCTCTAAGATGAGAGTTTGTGATGGGCTTCCCCCCTTTTGCTCTGAATGCGTTCTGCTCAGCATTTGCTTTGTGATGTCTCATGTGTCTGCCCCAGGAGTTGGGGCTGAAGAAACTTTTGATTATTCCAACCTTTAGAAATTACTAAATTTTTGCCAGATGAAAATTTTGCTTCATGAAGAATCATAAGTTTCGATAAACAATAATAGTAACGTTAAATTGAACAAAAAAAAAATAATAAATTTGCCTTTTTCCGGGGTGGGGCGGGTAGGAACCAGTGAGCCAAACAAGTAGTGCCGGATGTTGGACGCTGCTTGTTGACTGCATTTCTGTGCCAAATTGTGCCAGATCATTGGGTCCACCATCCTTTTCTGTGGGCTACAGGGCAAGATGGATGAAGAGAGGCAATTGATTTATTGCATGGGGCATAATATAATATTGAATTTGATGAGGAAGGATGGTGACTTGGGTCTGGCACAGTTTGGCACATTCCAACATTCGGCTCTACTTGTTTGGCTCACTGGAATGATGGAAATCAACTAAATTTAACTTGAATGACACAATTATTAATTTAAATTCATTTGTTTCTAATTTATATTTTTGTGATGTAAATGACGATTAATTGATGCAGGATCTGTCCCTTTTGCTTCTAAAATTGTTTGATCAATGGTTATGCAATCGCATTCCTCTTGAGTGACCTGATGTATTCGTTGAATGTTGGGGAACTTAGTCAGGCTGTTGTGTAAATAGGTGATGCACTAATAAAATGTGAAAATTCTGTTATTGAAACTTCTTGAATTCACGGTAGCATGGCAAATAATACTACCACACAAGGATTTCCAGAAGGACAAACTGCTGCTGGAACATGAATATTCAACTGCTCTGCCAATATTAGCTGTGCCAAAAGCTCCACCCTTGATGAAGTTTCAGGAGACGTCTTCATCCTTTCACAAACTTCTTCCTGTTTCAACAGAAAATCGAATCTATAAAAAAATAATTCCACGATGCTTCAA